ACAAAAACATATTTAGTCTTTGTCCCTGCACAGAACTCCTAAAACTCTTTAAATTTGTGATTGAGTATCTTTCATTATTCATAACAAGCCCTTTCTTGATCATACCAGTTTATGCTAATGAACGACTTAGGCTGGGGTCCCTATACAGTCTCTGAATGGAGCTAGTCACCAGAACAACCAAGTGACTACAGAGTTAAAACTTTCAGTCCCACCATCCTCCAGGAAAGTGGGGGAGAAGCTAGAGATTGAGCCCCACGAAAACTCTTGAATAATGAAATTCAGAGAGCTTCAGGTTAGCGAACACATCAGCTTGCTGGGAAGTGGTGTGCCAGAGAGGACATGAAAAGTCAGTGTGCCCCTTCCCATACCTTGCTCTAAGCATCTCTTTCTTCCATTTGCCTGTTTTTGATTGTATCCTTTATAATAAACCAGCAAACATAAGAAAAGTGTTTGCCTGAATTTGTGAGCAATTGTAGCAAATTGTCAAACTTGTGGAGGGGGTTGCGGGAACCCAATTCATAGCCAGTCAGAAGTACAGGTGGCTTGGAACTTGCAATGGCAACTAAAGTGGGGGCAGTCTTGTGGGACTGACCTTCTTTAACTTGTGGGATCTGACACTAATTCCAGGTAGATAGATTCAGAATTTAATTGAATTGTTAAATTCAGTAAAAGCTGGTGTGTCAGAAATCAAATCAGAACAGAAACATAACATTTCCATTATCACAGAAAGTTGGACAATTCCATGAGAGGGGAAAGAAAACCTAGTTTAAATCTGAATACTAGGAAGAGACCTTCAGCTCAGTGGTGGTTAAAAAATTCTGAAAATTCTGAGAAAAATAACCCAAAATAGAGTCTACCAGCCTGAATCAAAAATGTTAAAATCTGAAGACCAGAGTTATTTCATAGCTCAGTCCTTTCAGGGTGAGACTTAATCCTTCCCTTTAAGAGCAGAGAAGCTAAAATATACTATAGGAAGTCAAATGCCCAAGTTATCTAATAAACCTACAGAAGAGTCTTGGATTAGAACTCAGAGTTTCCATCTAATTACTTAGCTCCCTGAGTTCTCCCTCCGAGGCTGGTCTCAGCAGTCAGATTGACAGATTCACTGGCAGCCACAATCAGAGGCATCATCTGACAGGACACAAGTGAGTTGAAGACTGACTGCTGGAAGGTGGCAGCCCTTTAATCCCCACATAGTCTCTAAAGTGTCACATTAATGCTCAAGTAAGGATGGGACTTTTAGGTACTGGCAGCTACAGCAATTTCACTAACAAGAAAATCTGTCTTCGGAATAAAAGAGGTGCATGCCCTATAGGCATGGGGATGAGTTCCACCTCATTAAATCTCAGCCAATACCAAATGAGAAACTACTAGAGATCACTGGCTGCTGACTTGGAAACTATTGGTAAGCCGTTTCTAATGCCCAGATGCAATTTGTAGCACAGCAGTCTCCAAGGTTAGGGCATGGTTTTATTAGCCAGTGATCAACTTCTGGACTTTGTTTTAAAGAAAATTTTATTTTAAAAATTTGTTTAAATCCCTCTTCCATGTACATCTCTCCCTCAGCAAACCAAACTCCCCAGAGGTAACTACTGTTAACAATTTGTTGGACATCCTTCCATACTTTCTTCTAAACATATGCAATAATTTAAAAAATACACAGGCATATGTGTACATGCTTTAAAATGGGAGGAGAGTCATGCTATACAAACTCTTTTGTAACATGCTTTTCATTTTATTATCTTGGACATTTTCTATTGAGATCTATTCTGTTTCGTTGATTCTAAGAGCACTCCCCCACCTCACTTTAACATCTCTGAAATCAGAATGCTTCTTATAATCAGTGGTGTCTTACAACTGCCATCGGCCAGGTATTAGGATTGTAGAATTGTATGGAAACTTTCCACTGACCTTTTCTGGTAAAATGAAGAAGGAACAAGCATCAAAGTATCTTAGAAATAGTTATTATTCTTTTTACATCGTATAGTCCACTGCATAGATGTAGGTAATTTATCTAATTCTATATTGCAAACTAAATTCCTTAAGGAATTGCTAAATTAAAGGGTAAGCATATTAAAAATGTTAATAGTACTCGCTTTGGCAGCACATATACTTAAAAAATGTTAACAGATATTGCCAAAATCTGTAACCACTTATGTTCCCAATAATAAGTAAAACTATTGCTGGAAATACCCATTTCCAACACTGGGTATTAATAGCAATCTTTTTAATATTTATTAATCTCAAAGATCTTACGCATTTTAAATTGCTTTCAAAAATATTTTAAGATAATTTCAGATTCACCTATAGTTGAAAGAAATAATAGAGATCTTGTGTACCCTTTACTCAGTTTCCTCCAATGATAACATTTTGCAAAACTATAGCAGACTATTACAACCAGAATATCAACATTGATACTGTGGTAGAATAAGAAATACATATTTGGTCTTTGTCCCTGATTCCTGGCACAGAGCTTCTAAACTCTTGGAATTTTCTGAGTGACAGGAACATCTTGTTATTTATAACAAGCACCTCTCAAGTTTACTTTATGAAGTGACTATTTGTGGGCCTCTAGAGAGCTTCAAGATGGGGACTAACAACCGCCAGAGGAACCGAACATGTGATTAGAGGGCTGAAACTTTCAGTCCCATCTCTAGACTTCCAGGGGCGAAAGAGGAGCTAAAGATTGAATCAAATCAACAATGGCCAACGATTTAATCAATTGCATCTACATAATGGAACCTCCATAAATACCTCTAAACAGTTTGGAGAGCTTCTGAGTTGGCAATTACATCTACGTGCCAAGAGGGTGATGCACCTCAACTCCAGAGACAAGAGGCTCTTGCACTTGAGACCCTTTTGGATCTTGCCCTACGTACTTCCTCTTCTGGCTGTTCATTTGTTTCCTTTATAGTAAACTGTAATAATAGTAAGCATAGCATTTTCTTGAATTCTGTGAGTCGTTCTAACAAATTATTGAAACTTGGGAGGGTGGTGTGAAAACTTTTAAATTTGTAACCAAGTCTGACAGAAGTGTGGGTAACCTGTCGGGGGACGTTATACTTCCAATTGGCATCTGAAATGAGGGCAGTCTTCTGGGACTAAGCCCTTAAACCTATGGAATCTGATGCCACCTTCAAGTAGTTAGTGTCAGAATTAAACTGTAAGATACCTAGTTGGTATCAGAGAATAAAAGATTTGGAGAACTGACTGTTGATTCCATACCACATTCTAAAATTGCAATAAAAGACAATAAAGTACTAACCGATTCACACTATAAAATGGATAAATCTTAAAAACATGCTAAGTGAAAGAAAACAATCACAAAAGACCACATGTACAAATATATAAACACAGAAGTACACTGGTGGTTGCCTAAGGGTGGGCAGAGGGGAGAATGGGGGAGAGGGTAATAGGTAAGTTACTATTAATAGGCATGGAATTTCTTTTGGGAGTGACAAAAATGTTCTCAAATTAGATTGTGGAGATGGTTCCAAAATTCTGTGAACATACTGAAAACACTGAATTGTATGTACAACTTTGGGTAAAAAATATGGTATGTGAATTGTATCTCAATAACTGTAAAAAAAAAAATGTTACACAAATGGAATTGTAAAGTGAATAACCTTTGGGATTAGTTTTTTGCACTCGCATAATTCTCTGGAGATTGACCCACATTGTTGCACATATCAATACTTCATTGTCATTTTTTTATTGCTGAGTAGTATTCCATTGTACAAATGTACCACAGTTTAAGTTATTTTTAAATCAAATTTAGAATAAGCATCTTTTAAGATATTTATCGATCAATTACTATTTTTTCTCCTATAAATTCTTTTCATATCCTTGGTCCCTTTTCCTACTTTGCCCTTTTTTATTAGTCCTTTGTCATATCTACTACAAATTCTTTCCCAACTGTACTTTATGATAATTTTTGCAATAAAGTTTTTGACTTTTATGCAATCAAATTTTATTCTATATTTTCTCCTAATAACATCCTTATGGGTACATTTCTCCATTAAAAACTTTAATAAATTTTGTCACCCTGAACAAGCCCAATCCCATCTGATCTCAGAAGCTAACCAGAGTTGGGCCTGGTTAGTAGTTGGATGAGAGACCACCTAGGAAGACCAGGTACTGTAGGCACAAAAAATAAAAAATAATGGATTGTAAGCTGACAAGGTCCTTGCAATCTGTGAGGTCAACCAAGGGTTGCCTTGCCTTAAAAAAAAAAGAAAAAAAACTTAAATAAATTTTTATTTTAGCACAAGAAATAACAAGTTAAGTTCATGGATCCTCTAGTAGTATGATGTAGTAGGCAGGGCTTGAGGCTGGGAATCAGGAGGCTTGGGTTCTAGACCTAACTGTGCCACTACCTAGCTAAGTCACTCTGAGCAGACTACCGGTTTGTGAAACTTGCTTTTCTGCTTAACAGAAATGTTTTGAGAAACAAATAATATTCTATAAATATGATTTTATGTATAAATATAAATATTATAATATGAAATATAAATTTTATATAATAAAATAAATAGATGAGAAAAAGAGTCTCCAAAAATGTTCAACAAATGCCTATCAATATGTAAAGAAAATTTAAAGCATAATACTTGTATTGGTTATAATACTATTTCCTTTCCATGTGCCATAACTAGAGAACCCACAATGTCGACTCTAGAGAGTAAATAATTTGCTTTCTCCAAATCCTAGACCAAAGAGGTCAAGTGACGTGCCTAGGGTCACAAGTGAAATTTAGGGAAGAGGTGGTTCCAGAAGAGAACCCAAATACCTATGCCACATCCCACCCTCCAAGACAGAGAGCACCATTCTTCTGAGTTAAGACCTGCTGAAAATGAATTGTCATCACTTGTCTGTATTCATATCTCTAAACAAAAACAAAAACCTACTGCCTAAAAAAATGTACAGCTATAAATGGAATGCAGTGGAGGTGACAGCAGAGAGAGTAGAATGGGAAGGCTGAATTTCAAGTTACAGGCTCCCACCTTGCTTCCGACAGCCTGGGATTTTGATAAAGGCTCCATAGTCTGTCACCATAGCAACCTATAAAGACAACAAACAAACCAAAGAATCAGTGTCACACAAATGAGACTCTCTATTCTGTAACATTTAACCTTGTCTTCCTGAATTTCTACTTCGTACTGACTGCCTTTGTATGCTGCAAAAACTGCCTCAGAGTGATGTGTCAAATATCCTTTTGGTTCTTTTTGAAATTTAGACTGACAGGTATGTGTGAACCTGTTAAAAACAATGGTGAGACTGGACTGTTGTCAAATGGTATGACAGTATGTAGGAATGCCCAAATCCCAACACTACTGAAATCTCCAAAGAGGTATATTAACAAAAGGAACAAACGTCAGAAAATCAAGTATTAATGTTACACTTTACACTAGCTGGGACTGAAGCCTCCAAGCCCTCCAATACAAAGAACTTTAATAATTTGGAATAGATCACATAGGACATGCCTTTTTCCTAAATTTCAGACCAAACCAGACCATACAGCCTGCTCTAGTTCACTTTAAACCAGAGTCTTAGTTTTATCAAGATAATTAGAGAAAAAGCCAACATAGACATCTGACAGAATCTGAGAGGATATAATCAGAGAAAGAGCTGACCTAAGATGGAGAAGTCAGAGGTTTGCTCAGCTACATACTGTGTGATGTGTAATAGTAATAAAGGTCCAGATCCCTTGACAGATAAATCATTACTCCCTACTTCTTCTATTTCTCTCCTCCCCTATCCTCTAGCCCACCCCCCACCTAAGAATTGGCATTAAATTAAAGTTGTGACTACATACTGTATTTATCCTACATTCATTATTATTTTTTATAAAATATTCAATATAATCTTAGACATATAAACTTTACTCTTTTCAGTGACTTTGTTTCATCTGGGGCAATCACTGTTTCAGCTTCACCACAACTAAAACAAGAGGAAGGAATAAGACAATCCCTGCTGTACTGCAATTCACTAATATAATTAAATACTCACTATATGCAAAACACTATTCAAAGTGCTTTACATAATTCTCATGACACCATATGATGCTGGTACTATTAGTATGCTCATTTGATAGATGACAAAACTGATGCATGGAGACTAAGTAACTGGCCCAATGTTCAAAGCCAGTAGGCAGCAGTGTCGGGATCTGAACCCAGGAAGTCCTAACTACATGAGAGCTGCTCATGGGTTTTCTTTAAATATAAAACTCTAGCAGCCAAAAGCAATGTGACAGTTGATATCTTATCTGCTCCTGGCAATAATCTGAGGAAATATAGATGGTGGGTTCCCATGTTGTAGATGAGGTGAACTAGCATAGGTGTAGGAGTGAAATACGTGGCTTCTAATCCCAGCTCTGCCTCTTCTTACCTGTGGGATCTTGAAAACAACTTGCCTTGCAGGGCCTAAGTTCCCATTATATTCACTTTGCTGTTGTAGATAACAAATGATGTACATAAAGCACTGGGCACTGGTATCTGGCACCCAATGTACATTCAGTAAGTTATAGCTTTTTAATAATTTACAGTCTAAGACACTGAAGCACAGAAAGGTAGTAACTAGTGGAAGGGCACACAACTAACTTAGAAACAAGCTAGGCACCGACGCTAGATCCCTTGACTCCTAGTCTAGAGCCTCCTACTTCACCAAATAGCATCGCTACTCACTTCAATACTAGGATAAAAATAGATAAAAATATCCAATCTTCTCACTGTTAATGGGGATATGGGGATGAACACTTGAACTAACTCTCTAAGATAGAAGATTAAGAGTTGGTTAAGAATCAATTGTTTGAAACTATTTTAACATGCTACGCTGGGGTAGGGACCAGACAGTCCCAAAGAAACAGTACAATCAGGCAGATACTACATTTAAAATCAAAGCAAGGTGGAACTGGAGGAAGGACTTATGAGATTAGCTGGTCCAATCATGTTATTTTTCAAATGAGAAAAGTGAAGATCAGAGACATGAAGTGCTTATCTAAGTTCACAAAGCAATTTGTTCTCTGTAAAACAGGCCTACGTGGATAAAGATGACTTAAATTTTTTAATTACAATAAAAGCATATCTCTTTTTTTCTGAACCAACCAAAGGCAGTTGGTTTTTGCTCCAGGGTCCTAGAAAGAAGATAAGACGGATCACATTGCATAACATTATGAAAGGACATAACCATCTAACCACTTAAAAGTAGCAGCTGGAAGTTGGGGCCCAAATCACCTTGCTGCTGTAAATTAAGACAATCTCACTTCTCAGTCCTGAAGCTCCAGTGTCACATTATGATCTTTTGAGGAAATATCATAACAGGCCTTAATTTTGGCCTCTCCCAAAAGGAAAGGTTAATAAGCTCCAGAATGGAGGCACTCGAGTGTTCAATTAGGAAAAGGCATTCTTCCCTATTTCTAGCACCAGGTGTTTCCATCACTGTGTCTCCTAGGACGTAGCCAGAGTTGAAATTAACAGAATGGCACCTGCTATAGATGATCACACAGTCTGTCCTGGTGTTCCAAGAATAATTAGTCAAATAGCTCAGGGGGAAAAAAATTCAGTAATTAACTAAACTCAGGGCTTGGGTAAAGTGAATTTACCATCAGAGGTTGCACAGGCCTTGAAATGAGTTATCTCTAGAATGTAAAAGAGGAATTTGAGGCTCATAGACATCAGTTTCTTGTCCAAAGTCACAAAATTAGAATGTAGCATGACCAGACAGAGAACAGAAGTTTTTTGACTTCTGTCCAATGCTATTTCCACCTTACAAACAGCAATTTCCCCTCAATATTTCTTTGGCTATAGGTAGGCTAAGCCAAATCCCAATTTCCACTGCTATGCTTGCACTCCCTATCATGTTTAATGGACTCCAACACTAAGATGCCTCTCAGAAGAGAGAAGATTGAATACTGGCTTCTCAGCTATTCAGTCACTGCCCCCATTTCCCAGCCCTGAAGAGAAGAACTCCTAGATTATGGACTGCACTATCAGTTTCTTCAAAGGTAACAAAGACAATTTGGTGAAGACATACACATATACAAAAAACAATAATACAAGACAGACTATAATTAATGTCATAATAGAGGTACAAAAAAACAACCGTGGAACAACCAGATTTACCATCTACCTCCCTCCTATACCTCAATTCAGTCAAGAGTTCTCTTATAGGTCATTGTGTTCCTCGATGCATTTATGTACAGTTGGACGATTCCAGCTGCAGTATAGCAGAAAGCAGACTCTGAGAGAAAACTTGATTTAGAATCCTAGCTTTGCCATTTAACAACCATCTGGGCAATTACTTAACTTCTGAGAAGTTTCCTTATCCATAAAATAGGGTTAACAATTTCTTTGGATAGAATCAATGACACAAAATGTGTGAAATACATTAGGCTTACAAATTAAAAAAAAAAATTTAAAGTAATCAGGTCTTCTTTGTAAATATTACGCACTCATTAAATGTTTGTTGGATGAATATTCTGAAAAAGTTTCTTCTTTCCAAGGTATCGTGAGATTTCTCTTTTCCTAATTCTAGTCACTTCTAAACCATTATTTTTCAAAATGTGCTCCTGAACACTACCCTAACCCATCCATCCTTAATAGCAAAATATAAAACCTGCACTAATTCAAATCCTATCCCACGTAAGAAAAAGCTGTAGATCAGGAGCCGCTTCACTAGAAATCTGAGTCAGCCTGTAAAGGGCAGAGTGTTCTTCTCTTTCTTGCAATATCTGACAGGCAAGATCAAAAATTCTATTTCATCTCCAGTGCTATCACTTCCTTTTCCTAAGCTGTGGTACCTTGACCTTTGGAGATAATATGAGCTTTAAAGGACGAAGGCTCTGAAGAGCAGAGTTGTTTGCTATCTGTTAGAACGCCATCACCCTTTGTATCTTGACTATTATAAGTTGGGATCGACAACAGTAGTCAAGGGCCACAATTATCTATAGCAACTGGCAGTCACAAAGTGTGTCCTCAAAGGCCTCACATTATTAGGAGGTAAAACTTTTGTTGACCATATAACAATTATAAATGCCATAAAAATTATATAGTTAAATTACTACAGGCACTCATAAGACACTAAAAACCATTTTTTTGGCTTTACTTTTGCTTCAAGAAAAGGGAGATGATATCAATTCCTACTACATCTCAAGCATGTGTTTTTACAGATGACAGCTTATTTAATCATCATGGCAACCATATGGAAGTAGTTATTATCTCTATTTAGATAATAAACGGTGAGAAAAAGATCTGAGGAGATGACATTAGGGTTAAGACTTAAAAGATAAAGAGAAGTTGGTGGGAAAGTGGGGTTAGAAGAAAGAGTATGTGCAAAAGTCCTGAGAAAGAAGCACGCTTAGAATGTTCAGAGCTGTAAGGAGGCCAGAGTGGCTAAGAAACAAGTATAGTAGCAAAACAACATTGTTAGATTAAGTAGAGGTTAAGTCATATAAGAATAACGAAAACAAGTTTGGATATATTCAACTATAATAAGCCTAGAAGAGTCATGAGAAAACATCATGCTCCAATCTGTTTTTAAAACGTTATTTTGGCTGTGAGGTAAAGAACAGATTAGAGGGACTACAAAAGAAGTAGCAATGTCAGAAAGGGCCAGGCAAGAGATGGAGAGCTTAAACTAAAGTGGTTCCATGATAAAGAAGTAAATGGGCCAGAGATATATATCTAGAAGGTAGAAATGATAGGATTTGCTGATGGTCTGGAGAGAGAAAATCAAGATTAAATCAAGAGGAGAAATCAAGGATGATGTCTGGATTTCTAGCATGGGTACCTGAATGGACAGTAGGTCTATTTACTGAGATAGGAAAATCCAGAAGTACAGATTTGGTGAGAAAACCAAAAATTCAGTTTAAAACATAATTAAGAGATGCTGTAAGGTATCCGAATGAAGACATCAAGTATGTAATTGGACGGCCCTGAAGCTTAGAGGAAATTTCATATGATAGCCAGATGCTCCACTAGACCTTCCCGTTTAAACTATAATGCTCAAGATATTCTCAAATGGAAGGAGCTCCAAACCCAGCTGCTTTTTTACCCTCAATCTATGCTTAACATAAATGGTAGGTTTTCAAAGCCAAAAGAATATACCTCTCCTTGGAAAATAGTGTAGAGAGCAGGCAAGTTTTCCATGGTCTCGGGTCTTCCTGAATTCATCCTTAACGTTTTATGGCTCCTCCATCTCTCTTCTGCTAAAGCTAATTCAAGTGCCCTGTCACAAAGAAATAAAACAGACAATAATTTGGGAGACAGCTGCATTAAAAGAAATGTGCAGGTAATTCACAGCTAGTCTTACAGAATAATACCATAGATTTATATGTAACCTAATCTCTTTTGTCTACTCTAATTGTGTGGAGTTTTGGAAACCCTGATCTTATTTCTTTACAATTTGATACTTACCCAAGGCCATTAGTCTACTGTTTTGTTTTCTTGTTTTTAATTGCTATCATTGCTATTTTTGAGGGGTATGTGTATGTAAATGGATCTTTAAAAAAGGGAACAGTGATAGTAATTAGAGCTAACATCTATCAAGCATTTACTATGTCCAGGTACTGCTAAGCATTGGACATCCAATATCTCATTTAATCCTCAAAACTCTCAAGATGTAGGTTCCATTATAATCATATTACATAGATGAGAAGCCAAGGCTTCCCGAGGTCAAATTACTATGCCTATGTCAAAAGCCAGGAAGTGGTAAAGTCTAACTCTGGCAGGCACCAGAGTCCACGCTTTTAATCACTATGCTAAGTGTGAAATCTGAAGTGACTTCAAAAAGAGAGACTAACTTACTTTTTTCCTGATAAAATTAAAAATACAAATGCTCATTTTACAAGTTCAGACGATTCATTAATAATGAAGAAAAGAAAATAATTTATAATTCAATTTTATTTATATCCTTTCAGACTTCTTAATATGTACAGTGGTTTTTTTTTTTTAACGGAATCATGAAATCATTAACAGCCATAATTTTACTTAATATATTTTAGCAATTCATACACACATATACATCTTTTTTAATGTCTATATAACAAGCCATTGTTAGATATAACAAATTTATTTAAATCTATGAATCATGTTAAAATATAGATTACAATTCAGTAGGTCTGAAGTGGTACCTGAAATTGTATATTTCTAACACGTTCCCAGGTGATGCTGATGCTGCCTTGGTAGCAAGTCTTACTGCTCTGCAGTAGAATGGGACCTGAGAGGTATTCTTGCTCAGCCTCCTGGTTTTAAACAGAGAGAAAACTAGCAATCTAGTAGCTCTCAACCATGCCCCTTTACTCTGCTGGATAAATCACTGCTACATTTAGATAAATCTAATGGTATTGTCTTCAGTTCTCTTTTTCCTCCCAATTATACTTGACACTATTAAGACCTGAAACTATTTTCCTTAGGTTTTCATAAGCAAATACTTTCTTCTCTCCTCAACCCCCAGCAGAACCCCTCATTTCAGATGACTTCAGGTCCTAATTTTGTAAAATCTTCCTGATTTATAATCACCATCTATTAACGAAACTGCCTCACTTGAAACAGAAATGAAAGAAAATCCTGTTAGTCTAGTTCTAGTATAGTATCATCCCAAGGCCCAGAAATATCCCTGTTCTCAAGTTCCATAAGACAATCTTGTATCCTTATAATAAACTTGCCCTTTTGTGGTTAGGTCAGCCAGAGGTAGGTATTACTACTTTACTAATAGCATATATATAGAATGGAGGCAGATTTGATAGTTCTTAAGAAATAGCTGATAAATAGGTTAAATTCAAGTATCACAGCCTAATTGGATCCTACCTCTTCTACTTCTCAGCTATGCAGTCTCATTTCTAGTCCTTCCCTTCCCTTTGACCAACATCCCTCACATCACATCCTAGAATAGAGGTTATTAACCTGAGGCCAACAGCTCTATCAAGAAACCTTAATTATCCGTTCAACTCTTAGAGCGTTAGTGAGGTACAGAATTCATAGAGGCAACAGTAGCTAAGACGTCTAAATTGAACTCAAACACCTTAGTCTATCACCTGTTCCTCCCTACACAAAGGTCCAGGAAAGAGCAATAAAAGAGGAAATAATCTTAAGTTGTTTCTTGAAGATTTCTGCTGTGATAAAAATATGGACAGCTAAGTTTAAAGCTCTCCTGTTTGCTCCTTCTGTAGAACAGTAGCTCGAGAAACCCTACACAATTCTCCAAGAAGGAAACTGGCATGCATTTTTTAGGGAAAGCCTGAAATATGACAGCACAAGTTTACAAGTCAGGGAAGGAGGGTTGCCATTTTTTAAAATGAGATTTAACTTTTTTTTTCAAATTATGTTCTGTAGAAGCCTAGGGTTCTATGGTAGTTATTCAGAAGCTGTTCAGTTAATTCAAGTTTATTTTTAAAAAGTCAGTTCTGAAATATTTAAAGATCATAGGTTCAAGAAGGCCAAAGTAGTAGGGCTGTAGGCCAACCAACCAGAAGAAAGCCTCTATACCAAAGGTGCAGGGAGCAGAGCCCCAAGGAAACCAGAGTTGCGGGAGGTTCCATCCAGAGCAATTGGAAAGCTAGGAGCCTCTCCTAGGCAGAGGTCGATTATTGCTGATTCCCAATGGCTCTCCCAGCCTCGCAGTAGGCCATGGTAGCAAAGAAGAAGAAGGACTAAAAAAGAGCTTCTAGGTAAGATTTCATTTGGGAAAAAAAAAGTTTATAAAACACTGAGATAAGTATAGTCCAGTCAGATAGGCCCACATCTGTAGACTTAAAAGAGAAAGTAAATTGACAAGGATTGAGGTACACCATTTGGAGTTGTCGTGCAATAGTTCTAGAAACAGAAAATCTTTAAGTACTTCATTTTACTTGACTGTTTTAAACAACTATATTATGTAGGGTAGTTATAGGGACCCAGTTACTGGCCACTTCCTTCCCAAAGCAAGGGGCAGAGCAAGAAAAGAATAATGTGAGAATGAGAGTTGTAGCAGGGAGATGGTGGCCCAGAGTGGGGTCAAAGCCTATGTTGGGTGAGGAAGAAATCTGCAAAGAGCAATCTAGTGTGGGGAGGAGCAAGGTGATGAGGGCATCCACACCCTGAGCAGTCCAGAATGGGAGCTCAGTGCCCAAGCAGGGCCTGAGGGTTAGCAGTAGTAATACAATGTTAATTTTCCGATTTTAATAGTAATACTGTGGTTATGTAAAAGAATGCCCTGGTTTGTAAGAAAACTAAAGTATTCAGGGGTGATGGGGTTTCAGGTCAGCAACTTAACTCTCAATAAATTTTTAAAAACTGTTATTTGTATTTTGTCTCCATAATTTTGTGATTGTTTCAATTTTTTTTTAATAGTGCATGCAATTGGAAAAAAAATAACCACATCCTGTCCCTCTTCTTCTCAAGCAATGAGAAGTTTATGGAACAATATTAAATTGGTAAGATACTTTATAGCCCCTTTGGAACTTCATTTCATGTGTCACCTTTCTGATCTAGCTATTTTTGTTGTTGTTTTTAAGTTCGTTTGGATTTCAATTTGTTGTTGTTACTTAACAGTACTAACTGGATAGAACTCTGAGAGTTAAAAAGAATTTTAATTCATCTTTAACTTATGCAAATGAATTGAGAAGAGATAGGTTGATAAGTAAAAATACTAGGATATGAGCAAAGTAAAAATAATGGCTACAGAGTCTGCATTCTCAACTGCTATTCTACACTGCCTCAGAAAGAATTCAGTCCTCACCAAGGCTTTGTAGAGTACAGCTATAACACTAACTAGGTCCCAAAATGACAGATTTCAATTAGGGGAAATCAAAAGTAGTAAGCTACCATGAGCCGAACCTGGATTCACTCATTCAAACATGTATCCAAGGACCATTTCTTATTGGTTTTGTGTTCCCAGTGCCTAGTACACAATTGGTACTCAAAGTTTACTTGAATGAGTAAACAGTGCCTTACTTTGTGCCAAACCAAGGTAGAGAAAGAAGGAAAAAAGAAAGCATTCTGGTCTAAAGAATAAAGAAGGAACTCAGTTCCATACACTATGTTGGATAGGTTAGAAGATGGAAAACTTTCAAAGGCAAGCTAGTGGCCCAACCTTCCTCCTTCCTACTCATTTTTAAAGTGACTATCTTAGACATATAGCTACTTCTTTTCTGAACTCCAGTCATGGATCTCTTGAGAAAATGGTCAAAGCAGGAAAGAACAATAATAAAAAAAAGAAAAACACAAAAAAGAGACTCATAAAATATAAAAGCTGAATGGAATTACTGAGGTCATTCAGCCCATTACTTCTCTTAAAATGAAAATGAACTAACAAAGATCAAGTGACTTGATAAAGGCTGCTCACAATTAGCCATGCTGGTACTAGACCCCAAGACCAGTGCCTACTCTGCTACTCCATACTGTTCTGTTAGTCAATAATGGTGAAGGTCTCTTCCAAGTTCCCTAATAATAATGGCTAATATTTGAGTACTTCCTATTTGCCATGTTATTAACCTGAAAGTTTTGTTGTAACTAATTGAATTCCTTTTTTGACCACCCTATGTATAAAGCACACAGAAATTTACAGCTGTTACTGAAATACTGAAGTACTTAATTTTACTCTATTTTAAATTGTTAGTTAATTCGTCAATTCAGCAAATTTATTGATATTTATATATCAGGTATGTGCTTAGCACTTCATAAACCTCCTTTCAACCCTTAAAACAACTCTACAAAGTAGGTATCCCTGCATTATAGGAATGAAGTTACTTGTCCAGAAGTCATAGCTAGAAAGGGACAAATCTCAGGCCATTCCAAGGGCCATACACACTTGCCATGAAACCACCCTTTAAAACAGTCCCTGTCCTCCAAGACTTCCTAGTCTGGTAGGGATAATGGTAACCAATTGCAATGCAGTATGATCAGTGCTAAAATAGTGGCTAGATTCAAAATAATGTAGGGATGAAGCAAGAGAATTAAAAATGTTTATCAGGCCAAAATCAGACTGCAATACGTTGATCAGCCCTGAAGCCAGGCCAGGAGGACATCTTCAGAACAAAGGAAGATTTCTGCTGGATAACTAACAACCCACTTGTGAAGGAGAAACAGGAACCTAGTTATTCCCTATGGCTAAAACCAATGGATAAAAGGCTAGGAACAGCCAGACGCCTTTCACTCTACTCTTACTTCCCCGCCCCACCACTACAATACTCTTCCCCTTTCTCGCTGTAAGTCCATATCAAAGGAAATGGGAACTAAAGAATGACATATATAGGAATTCCAGGTGTAGGCGTTAAAAAAAAAAAAAAAAACTCTCACTCTGCCTCTGCGAGGAGACCACACTCTGTGGAGTATTATCCCTTTTCTAATAAATTTTCCTTCTGACTCTAACTTAGGCGTGTGTATTGAAGTCTTTCTACACTCTCCACCAAAGGACCCTCTTCTCTCAGTGCAGGGCTTGGTCTCCACCCACCAACTCGGAAATTTGTCCTGTCCTGCATGGAAAACAATAAGAAGAGCCTGGGGGAAGCAGGGAGGTTTAAAGGGTAACAACTGAGTAGGCCTTTAAGAATAAACGGAAGTCCACTAACAGAGAATTCTGTTCTTTGACCTCACTAGAACCCTGATCTATTGATGTCTATTTTCCTCCAATCAACCCTGTTTTCTTCACTTTCCTCTCTATCCAGCTTAGTTAGATTCCACAGTCCATCATTCAAACAATACTGTGACCTCCCTTTAACTGTCTTCATAGTTTGACTATATGGCAAAACCCTATGCTGGTGGAGTACTTCAGTACTTGCAGACATCAGAACCCATCCTAGCTAGGTTAAGCAAAAAAGGATGTATTGCCAGGTATTATGTGGCTTACAAAATTACTGGAAGGGCTACAGGAGCAGGCTCTGGTAAAACTTCCAGGAACAACTCCTGACCCACAAAATAACAGTATTTGCCACAAATCAAGAAAGTCATGGCTATCATTGTAGAAAGTCACTAAACCAGAAAGCTGCTGACTCAAGAAACTCACTGCCTCTGCTATATTTGCCAGCAAAATTAGATGTCTCTCACTCTCCTCTCCACATTTTAATTCAGTTCCACATTCGATTTTCATTTTAGGTGCAAAGGAGTCCAGGAGATTTTTTTTAGTGTACCAGGCTTTTCAGTAAGAAAACACACATTGGAGATGGGAATGTCTGTTAAATCAAATTCACATCCTTGCCATACCCAGATGTTTTTTTCATGCCTGCATGAAAAAGCCTAATATTGCCAGAAAAAAATTATGATCTCCCACTTCGAATGGGTCCTTAACTCTGCAAGACAATTTTTGATTTCTCTGGTAAACTCATTCTCTCACACTCTACAATAATTTCCAAATCTTCAATCTTCTCAAATATTTGACCTCTTCTCATTCTAAATATATAATTCCATCTCCTACATTACTGAGAAAATAAAAGCCATAAGAACTCATTTTACCAACACCAAATATACAAAAACCTAGATCTACTGCTTTCATTTTCTTCTTTCTTCCTTTCTGTTAAATGGAGAAACTCCATCTTCCTAAGGCTGTTCCCTCTAACTGTACTTTGGATCCTATCCATTCTCATGTTCCCAGACCACTATCAGTGACCCAATTTCTTTCTTGTGTACTCAATTCTCCATCACTCTCTCAATTGGATCTTTGGTGACTCCTCATCTCCTTCAGCTTCCACATCCCCTCCTCTCCTTTACAATCATATGTATGAAAAATACTCTATAGATTCACTGCCTCCATTTCCGTGTCTAAATCTCTGCTACATATCTAGCTTCTGGCCCCATCACACCAACAAAATAACTTGCTAAGGATACCATGAGCTCCATAATGATAAACCCAATAAACATTTTTTCAATTCTCATGTTATTTAAATTCCAGTAGTTTCTAACACCGACCATTTCCTTGCTTCTGAGACTGCTTCAGATCCTTCTTCCTAGATCTCTCTTCTCTCTCTCCTGTAGGCTCATACTCCTGTTCTTGGCCATTAAATGGTGGAACTACTCAAGGCTCTGACTTAGGTGATCTTACCCACACCTATGACTCAACTATCACCTACATGCAAATTATTCCAAAATTTATATTTCCAACAAAAATCACTTTTCTGAGTTCCAAAGCCATATCTCAAACCTGCCTCCTGGATGTCATGAATGACCTCTCTCTTCCCCTGCCAAAACCAACACACACAAAAACTACCCAGTTGAATAAGCCAGAAACCTAGGAGTTACATTTGAGTCCTCTTTTCATTCCCTGAATCCAATCCATCACCAAGTCCTACTGACTTTACCTCCTATATATCTTTAGAATCTGGCCAATTCACTGCAATTTCACCAATACCTCAGTCCTCATTGCCAACAACTGTCACCTAAGTGGTTTATCTGCATCTATCTCTCCTCCATCTGTTCATACTACTGAGCCTGAGGGATTAAACTTTTTCCCCCACCACACCACCTATTCCCCATGAAAAACAAAAACCCTCAATGGTTTCTCATCAGTCTTATAGTAAAAACCACAAAGTCCTGCAAGGTCTGACCCCTACCTGTCTCCAGCTTTATCTTGTACCACACTCCCCTTAATTCTCTTTGTATCGGCCACACTTTGTATCTGTGCTTTTTTAGTCATTTTCCTGCCATTTGTCACAGGATCTCTGAACCTGCTGTTTTATATGGAATATTCTGCCTTCCTCTCTTCACTCAACTAAAATTCTTCCTTCAGGTATCAGTTCAGGCATCTTTTCCTCAGAGAAGCCTTCCTTATTATTTCAGGCACTCATAACATCAGTTCCTCTCCTAGGTTGCACTTATTTCACATTTATTTCTCAGTGAGGTCATTGTTTAACATGTTTTCCCCTCTGGACTCAAAACTCTGAGATCAGGGACCACGTTTGGCTCACAATGGATTCTCAATGCATTGCACAATAAATATCAGTTGGAGATTAAGGAGAAGGCCTAGTTTATAGGTATGAGTCCAAATTTCTCAACAAGACTGTACGCTGGAGAGGCAGGAGACGGAGATTTCCTTCATCTCTCTCGCAGGGGCATAGAGCAGACCTTAGTAAAAGGCTGCAGAATCAGTTGCAGAAACAAGTCGGCCTCCTCACCCGGGACCCTAGTGGAGGCTGGGAAACAGGGTTTTTCTCCCTGGGAGAGCCTGGCACACGGCTGGACGTAGACGCTTGTTGAAGTTAGACGTCGAGGGCCCCAGGCAGCCGCAGAGACCCCGAAGCTCTGCTCCAGTCTAGAAAGGGAACCCAGGCTACAGCATACCCAAGCTAGGATCTCTGGATCCGCCTCTGCCCCCAGCAATTAAACCTTCAGCTGAGAAAGGCCAGGCTCACACCACAGAACCCAAGCACCGCCTCCAGATTCCGCAGCCACCCGCCCCCCGCATCTTGCTAATACTTACTCGGCGTCAGCTCCAGGTCTCCACGCCGCAGCATTGCGCGAAACGCCAAAACCCAGTCAGTGCGCTTCCACCCACAAGACACAGCGCGCCTAGGCGGGACTCCAGCTCCATCCACCAATCCTGGAATCGTACTCTCCTGACATCAGAAAGAGCTGACCAATAACAGGAGACTATCCTGGGGGGGCGATGCAGAGGGGAGTATTGGAAGCTGATTGGTTTCTCTAAGCCGGAAATTGTAGGAAAAGGACTAAGTCGGAACCAATCGTGCGGTTCCTGAGGGTGTTGGCGCGGTCAGTGGCGGCGCTGAGGAGACCGGCTGCCGCCATGATAGAACAACAGAAGCGCAAGGGTCCAGAGTTGCCGCTTGTTCCAGTCAAGCGGCAGCGGCATGAGTTGCTGTTGGGAGCAGCGGGGTCGGGCCCCGGAGCGGGGCAGCAGCAGGCGGCCCCAGGAGCTTTGCTGCAAGCGGTGAGTGAAGTAGCAGGTGGCCTTTGGCCCTCAGCTCATCTTCCTCTCTTCAGAGCGCTACACCCAGTGATCCCACATTGGCCCTTTCCCCGCAGTGCGGGGCGGAACGAGACTCTCTACCTGGAGTTAAAGCAGGAAAACACTGTAAAACCAACCAATACCCTATGTATGCTCCATACGTTTCCCCGTTTGACGCCCGTTTTCAGCTGCTCGACCGCCCTGTGAGGTGGCTGGCGTTAGAGTTAAGGACCTTGAGCTCAAAGTCGGGACCCGAGTTTTCGCATTCTAATGTTTTGGCATAGAGTAAACATTCAGAAAAGTTTGTAGAGTGGACGGATGGATGGATGAATGAATGAGGGAAAGAAGGAACTGAATGATACTGGCTCGCTTTGGGACTTTGAGCAAGTTGCTTTTCCCTTTATTTCTCTGCACTGTTATTAACAGCAACTGAAGACTAGTTAACATTAATTAAGCCCTTGTACTAAGTGCTTTTTTAAATGAAAACTCCATTAATATTGGCTTAAGAGTTAGGGATTTATCCCATTTTGTAGATGGGAAAACAAACTTTTAGCTAGTAAAAATGACAGAAACGGATTTTAAATCCAGAACCCATGCTCTTAATTACTATATTTCTTGTAAGATAGAGGTGGTGTCACACCTTCTAAGCTATTAGGGCCAGATTAAAAAAAAATATGTCCTCTCTATCAACTCCTCAAGCTGTTTGTTGGTCACCAAATCCTGCTAGCACTGTCTTCAAAATATATTCAGTGCTACCACTTCTACCATGTTCATCACTAGCTCCTGGTCTAAGCTGTTATCCCACCTGGCATTACTCAGTAGGGTCCTAACTGGTATTCTTGTTTCTGCTCTTGTATGATCAATCTGTTCTCAGTCCGGCAGCAAGAGGATCTTTCTAAATGTCAGATTATGTTATCTGCTGAAAACTTTTAGTGGCTTTCCATTTCACTCAGTATAAAGCCAAAACACAACCTTTTGCCCTCTTTGCTTTTGTCTCTCTGATTTACCAATTTTCCATTGCTCACTCTTGCTCCAGTCACACTGGCTTCCATGCTCCTGCCTCAAAGCTTTTGCATTTGCTGCTCCCTCTATTACAATGTTCTTCCAAACGTCCACATGGTTTACACACTCAGCTCCTCTAAATCTTTGTTCAAATATCGCTTTTTAGTGAGGGATATCCTGACTACCCTGTTTTAAATTGCAGTACCCTGTATTCACTAACCCACATTGCTCCTTTGTTTTTCTTCAAAGCACATACATTTTACTTGTTTTCTTTCTGCTTGCTTCCCAGTAGAACACAAACTCCATTGTTTATTTTGTTCAATACTGTTTTCCCAGTGCCTAGAACAATGTGGTTGGCACATAGTATTCTTTTAATAAATGAGTAAACTGGAAACTACTAAAGAGATTTGGGGATTATCGATAATATCATTTGTCTGACTAGCATATCAGCCCGGGTTTCAGCACATTGCCCAAGCCTAGGCTTAGTATCAAGACCATAATCAAAAGGACTTTCCCCAATAATCTGTTCTCTGCAGGGTTGTTGGGAAGTTCATTTTAATCTTTCATTCATTAAACAGTGTTGAAGGACACAGGCAGGATCCCTGCATTCACAGAGCTTCTTTTCGAATGGGGAAAAAAGACAAAATATGTAAACAAATACATAAGGAGGGTAATTTCAAGTAATAAGTGTGAGGAAATACAGTATGGTTAGTGGAATACAAAGGAGAGGTGGGGTGGTGCTTGAGTTTGATCAAGGAAAGACTTTCTGAACAGGAAACGTTTGAAAGGAGCCAAACACAGGAAGATCTAGGGGAAGGGGATTTCTGTCATGGTCCACGAGTGTAAAGAGAGAAATGAGTTTTAACATGTTTGCCTATATGTAGTGACTACCCTGTGTGTCTTTTTTGTTTAGGGGCCTCCAAGGTGTTCCTCCCTTCAGGCCCCAATCATGCTTCTCTCAGGACATGAAGGAGAAGTGTACTGCTGCAAGTTTCACCCCAATGGATCCACTTTAGCATCTGCAGGATTTGACCGACTGATATGTAAGGCATAGTTTTTGAATCTGGAGTAATTGTTCTCTGCCAAATATTGATTATTTTTTAAAACCTTTGGTGCCATGGAAGGTATCAGTCTGATAACTGTGTGGCTAACACGCTAAAATAGTAAAATAGGGTCATGAAAATGCTGGATGATCTTGGTTGTAGAACTCAGGGTCTATATGGTAAACACAGAAGGAGTTATGTTACTAGTTGGAAAATTAGTTGCTCTAATTTGAGAATATCTTCCTCATGGAGGCAAATTTTGAGCTGATTCAGTACAATTAAGAGATCTAAGTTTAACAGGTTATTGAGAGTGATGCAGAGAGAGAGAACTTTTCTCCAAAAGTGAGATGCCCTCTTGAACCATTCAGAATCTTAGCCTATGGGAAGGAAGGAGGGGATCCTAACGTGGCACCTCACTTGGATTATCTACATATACATCATTAGGATCTACTAGCTTCTCAGCTACGAGTCAGGAATACCCATTTTTGAGAAATAAGTAGAAAAAAATCACTTTGACGGAGTCATGAGAGAGCAAGAAAGAAGGTAACAGAAGCATGACTTTTTTCTTCTGGCATGGTATGCTGCATTGTGTGATGAAATGATGCTGCATTTATTTGGGCTGCAAATGATCCAGCATTCTTTTGGCTCATTGCTTTTTAACTCTGTACCTCAGGGTGGATGATAATTGTTTTAATTTAGGTGTCCTAGTTTAGGTGTTCACTGTTTTGATTTAGGTGTTCTAGTTCTATGATCTTTAAACTTGCTGATGGCCAAGCATCTGGAAGGCTGAGGCATCTTTGCAGAACATCCTCGAATTATTGATATGCTTCATTTTATCAAACAAACTAGAAAGTTTTCTCAGCAAAAAAAATTACTGTATACATGTACTTTATTATGTATAGAGGTGCTCCTGAATAATTCTTAACTCCTTGCTAGAGCAAGCTCCCTGAGGATAGGAACTATGTCTATTCATTTACCTCATTTTACCGCAGTACCTAGCATGTTATAGGTACTTACTGCATGTGGATTGACTAAATGTAACAAAGTCATTGCCATGTGACCTTCAAGTCATTTGCAGCTTTCTAGGTTTTCCATAAGTGCCAACATTTTGCAGTCTGCTTATATTCATAGGAGACAATAGTGCCAACTTTTTAAATATTATAGGAAAAAAACCTTAAGATTTAAAATATATCCATTAACTTTATTACCTCATGAAATGTGAAAATATTGCATTATCTTTGTTACAGTGTCAGAAATATTGGTCCAGCTGGTAGAACCAATAGTGTTCCAAGGGAGTATCATTTCAAACTGTTTTTCTGGTAAATTCATAAGGACCCTTTCCATGGCCAGTAATGAATTTCTTTTTGCCTAGTAATGCTCACAGAACCATTGTCTCCCTAACAGTATTGTGGAATGTCTATGGTGACTGTGATAACTATGCAACATTGAAGGGACACAGTGGAGCAGTAATGGAACTGCATTATAACACAGATGGCAGGTGAGTATTCTGCATGGTGGAATGACAACTGCTTCTTATACTAATTCTTCTTGGCATTTATTCACTTTTCGTCCTTGAGTTTTCTCTCTCAGGAGACCATGCTGTCAAAAACTGGTGCATTTGAGCAATTTATTATCCTATCACTGTCACCTCAAGTAAGGTGTTTATTGTTCCATATGTCCTTTATAAATACGTCATCTCTATCATCTAACATTTCAAGATCGCAGACAAATTTGTTTTCTTAAGACATAGAACATAATAATTTTTATATGTAGAAATTAGCTATTTTATTACAAAAGTAGTAAAATATTTTGAGAAACTAAAAGCAGAACAGTGAAAAAATAGCCAATATTTCTACCACTCCAAAGATAATCACTTAATATTGTGACACATTTTTCTCAAGCCTTTTTCCTACTCAGAACTGTTGGGTTTTTCTTATATGTTGGAGTTACGTGTGTAATCTTGTCTACTGCTTTTTTTTCCCTTAACATTCACCTAACATATCTGTTGATCATGACATACTATTTATCATAATCATTTTAATGTTTTTCATAATTTTAGAATGACTAGATAATATAAAGATGTGTTTCTACAAAGGTGATCTCATTAGATATTTCAGTAAACATTTATTTCACACCTCTGACCTCTAAAATCTTAGGGTTCTTTGAATCAACTGGTATGTAGCCTATATACACTTACTCGAGTAAAGAAAGCCTTATAAAATAATTATAACTTAGAAATTATCCTCAGAGACAAAATAAAAACTTTGATTTTTAGAGAAAGGGTTGGAGTTGCTGAGCTGTTGGGTTAGCCAGTCTGTCTTACCTCTGCAGCGAGGAGTGATTTCACGTTTCCAAATGTGTAAAGTCTTATCTATCACAAAGGAGGGAAAGATTGAGAAAACTGCTGTATTAAATGTGTAGTATGAGAACTGATAGAAGGAATTTTTTTTTTTAATGTTTCTTAAGATATGCCTTGTAACTGGGTCTAAAACACTAATAGGATTTTGGTAGGCGAGGTGAGGCAGGCATTCCAGTATCATGTGCCAAACTGTCAGGGCACAACACATCAGTGGTCTTGAAAAGTTTGACACATTTTGGTAGGTGAGAAAGGCACATTGCTGTTGTTTGTATTCACTTATTTATTTTTTGTTCTTCCTCTTATCTTCTAGTATGCTCTTCTCAGCATCCACAGATAAAACTGTGGCAGTGTGGGATAGTGAAACAGGTGAAAGGGTTAAAAGGCTGAAGGGGCATACATCCTTTGTGAATTCCTGTTACCCGGCCAGGAGGGGCCCCCAGCTTGTCTGCACTGGCAGTGATGATGGTACGGTTAAGGTGGGTGTTCTTGATGTCTCTGTTTTGCAATTTCTGAGGTGACATAATGTGAATTTTATCTTTCCTTCCTCTCCTCGCTATACCCTCCTCACTACAACTTTGTTTTAGCAGTCATTTCCAAAAACAGAAACTTTAAGTATCCTACAGAATAATATTAGAACCGAATCAACCATTGTGACAGAATAAAATGGACCACCTGAATTGGATTTTTGGCTCAGCTGCTTACTTAATTGTGTGATCTTGGGCAGTTCACTTTTCTGATCCTCAGTTTTTCGAGCTTTAGAATAGTAATAGTAGTATATATGTCTTACACAGCTGTTGTGAAATTAGTGTATAAAAAGTTCAGTACATGTTTTAATAACACAGGAAGAGATCTTAAAGATCATTTAGTTCAATGATTTCCAACCTATTTGTATATCAGAATCACCTGAACCACTTGTTAAAAAAAAGATTCAGCCAGACTCTGGTTCAGTAGGTCTGAATGGGATTTTTTTAATTTAAGACTACTTTTAAAGCAGTTTTAGGTTCACAGCAAAATTAAGGGTAAAGTACAGAGATTTCTCATATACCCACTGCCCCACATATGCGTAGCCTCCCCCATTATCAACATCCTCCACCAGAGTGCTATATTATAACTGATGAATCTGTATTGACACTTCTTAGTCTCCCAAAGTCCATCGTTTTACTTAGGGTTCACTTTTAGTGTTCTATATTCAGTGAGTTTGGACAAATGCATAATGACATTTATCTGTCACTATAGTATCATATGGTATTTTCACTGCCCTAAAAATCCTCTGTGCTCTGCCTATTCGTCCCTCCCAACCCCTGGCAACCACTGATCTTATTACTGTCTCGGTAATTTTGCCTTGTCCAGAATGTTACATAGTTAAAATCATACAGTAATCTTTTTCATATTGGCTTTTTACTTAGTAATATGCACTTAAGATTCTCTGTGTCTTTTTATGGCTTGATAGCTTATTTCTTTTTAATGTCGAATAATCCATTGTCTGAATATACCACAGTTTATTTATTCACCTACCAAAAGACATTTTGGTTGCTTCCAAGAATTGGCAATTATGAAGAAAACTGCTATAAACATTCTTGTGCAGGTTTTTGTGTAGACCTAAGTTTTCAACTCCTGTGGGTAAATATCAAGGAGTGCAATTGGCTGGGATGTATGTAAGAGTATGTTTAGTTTGTAAGAAACTGCCAATCTGTCTTCCAAAGTGTCTGTACCATTTTGCATTTCCATCAGCAGTGAGTGAATGTCCTTGTTGCTCCACATCCTCATCAGTATTTAGGTTGTCAGTGTTTCAGATTTTGGTTTTCTAATTGGTGTGTAGTAGTAGTTGGTTTAATTTGCATTTCACTGGTGACATAGAATGTGAAGCATCTTTTCATACACTTATTTGTCATCTGTATATCATCTTTGGTGAGGTGTCTCTTAAGGTCTTTAACTCATTTTTTGATTGGGTTGTTTGTTTTCTTATTGAGTTTTAAGAGCTTGTATATTTTGAATAACAGTCCTTTTTGGTACCAGGGACCAGTGCTCCTATGAGAATCTAATGCCTGATGATCTGAGGTGGATCTGAGGTGCTGATGCTAGCATTGGGGAACAGCTGCAAATACAGATGAAATTTCTCTTGCTCGCCCGTCACTTACCTCCTGCTGTGTGGCTCCTTTCCTAACAGGCCACGGACTAGTACTGATCCACAGCCTGGGGTTTGGTGCCCTCTGCTTTAGCAGATGTGACTTTTGCAAATATTTCCTCCCAGTCTGTGGCTTGTCTTCTCATTCTCTTGATAGTGTCTTTCACAGAGCAGAAGATTTTGATTTTAATGAAGTCCAGCTTATCATTTTTTTTTTCATGGATTGTGCCTTTGGAGTTGTATCCAAAAAGTTATCACCATACCCCTAATCATCTAGGTTTTCTCCTATGGTACCTTATAGGAGTTTTGTATTATACATTTTACATTTAGATCTGCAATCCCTTTTGATTCAGTTTTTGTTAAAGGTATAGGGTCTGTCTATATTCTTTTTTTACATGTGGATGTCCAGTTGTTCCAGCACCGTTTGTGGAAGGGACTGTCTTTGCTGCATTGTGTTGCTTTGCTCCTCTATATTCTTTTTTTACATGTGGATGTCCAGTTGTTCCAGCACCGTTTGTTGAAGGGACTGTCTTTGCTGCATTGTGTTGCTTTGCTCCTCTGTCAAAGATCAGTTGACTGTATTTATGAGGGTCTATTTCTCTGCTCCCTATTCTCTTCCATTGATCTGTTTGTCTGTTCTTTCACTAGTACCAAACTGTCTTTATTACTGTAGCTTTATAGTAAGTCTTGAAGTCGGGTAGTGTCAGTTCTCCAACTTAAGTTGTTCTACTTCAATACTGTGTTGGCAATTTAGGGTCTTTTGTCTCTCCATATAAACTTTAGAATCATTTGGTTGATTTTCACAAAATAAGTTGCTGGAATTTTGGTTTGGATTGCACTGAATCTATAGATAAGTTGCGAAGAACTGACATCTTGAAAGTATTGAGTCTCTATTAATGAACATGGAATATCTCTCCATTTACTTAGTTTTTCTTTGATTTCATTCATCAGAGTTTTTGAAATTTTCCTCATATAGATCTTGTACATAATTGTTAAATTTATTCTTAAATATTTCTCCTTTTTTTTGGATGCTAACGTAAATGGTATTGTGTTTTTAAGACTCAGAATTTTAAATGTGTAGCAGATCTGACATTGTGGGAGCCATTGATCTCATTCAGCATCCTCATTTTACAAATTAGGAAAATAAGGCCAATTAATAATATTAATAGTAATAGTAACGTATTTCAAGAGCACAGAAGGACACACTGCTGTGTAGTACCAACCATTTTATTTCTTTGGCACTAATTTTGGACTCTGGGTGATATTTTAATGATTAAACAGATGGACTTCAAAGGGGTACATCTGAGCAACCCCTCTAAACTTGCGATTGTTGCTTTTTTAAATGAATTTGCTTTTTTTCATAATTAAAGAGGTGATGACACTGACACTCAGAATTATCTGCTTTATGCTTTTCTATTGAGTGGTTTTTATAATAAACCTAATCAATCAAAACCCTTTGATGCTTGGCTAGGAGGAGAGTCTGTGGCTTAGGAATTGTTCCAAAGCCCAGAGCTCTTAACCTAGGTGTAGTATAGTTGGAGAGTCTTAACAGTAACTAATTTGCTAATTGGCATATCAAAAAGCAGTTAGAGATGAGAGTACCATAATGGATTTTGTTAACAAACATTTATTGTAAGCCTATTATAATAAACATCTAAGTCCTACAACTAGGTCACCTCAAATACCAGGTCACCTCAAATTAGTAGTTGGTGTGGAGACACTAAACAGCCCAGTGCCACAACCGTTTGTGGCGATCGAGAATTGAGAGGGCTTACCCTGGCTGCAGAGCCACCTCCCCCACCTGAGGACCAAGGGATCCCAGCTGCACACTGAGTTCCCCAGCCCAGGATTCCAGTTCTGGGAAAAGAACGCCCCACAATCAGCGGAGATTGTGGCTGAGTGAGACAGAGGACTGTGGAACCATAGACCTTCCTCTTAAAGTTTGTGCCCAGCCTTACTTGCTGGCAGACTCGCTTCCTCTGAGCTCTAGCACTGGGACAGCTGCTCAAGGGATGCCAGGGACATGCAGGGAGATGCTGAGCTTTCGGACATCAGGGTGAGGGCTGGATGGGCGGCTAGTTCTAGGACATAGGTGCAGGCAAAAGGCATTATTCTTTTGTTGAGCCCTCCCCGCTCCCAGCCTGCAGATGCAGGTACCATCAACGTGAATAACATAGGTCACCCTACCCAGGGGATTCCCTGAAACTTTGCCTCTTCCAACTTATCAGCCCATCTAATCTGCTTCCAGTGATTTATTCCATATAAATGGGCTGTCTTGGCTCCTACTGTGAACTTTCATAAAATCTCTCAAAAGCTCACAAAACCCAAAGAAGCAGCAATTGACCTCAAGCACGCACTGTACATCTTGCTGAGCAGCCCTGAGTCCCACACTAGTGGCAGCCGGCTTGGTTTCTGACTTGGCCCCTCAAGGTACCTGTAAGTCCAACATGGGTGGCAGTTATATGTGGATTGCTTGATAATCTTACCATGTGGCCCTGAACGTGCATAGGCTGCGGCTGAAGTTGACTGCAACTGGACCCCTCCCACGACTGTGCTACTGGGCCCCACAGCACACCTACTACATAAAGCCACTCTACTAAGACCTTGAGACTTAGGAGCCCTACCTAATACATGGAAACAGACACAGGGAAGTAGCCAAAATGAGAGACAAAGAATCATGTCCCACATGAAAGAACAACAAAGCTCCAGAAAAAGATTTCAACAAAATGGAGACAAGTAATCTACTGGATAGTGTTCAAAACACTGGTTGTAGGGAGAAGAGTAGATGAACTCAGAACTTTAACAAAGAGATAGAAAACGAAAATGGAGATGGAAAACAAAAGGGCACCAGTCAGAAACAAAAAATACAATATCAGAGTTGAAGAGTACATTAGAGAGGATCAACAGAGTGGATGTATTAGAGGATCAAATAAGCGACATAGAGGATAGAGTAGCAGAGGACACCCAATCAGAACAGCAACAAGAGAAAATCCAAAAAATGAAGATAGTTTAAGAAGCTTCTGGTACAATGTCAGGCGTTAGCAGCATTCTCATCATAGCTGTACGGAAAGGAGAAGAGAGAGAACAAGTAATTGAAAACATATTTGAAGAAATAATGATGGAAAATTTTCCTAACCTGATGAAGGATATAGACCTATCCCAGGAAGTTCAGAGTCCCAAACAAGATAAACCCAAAGAGACCCACACCAAGACACATCATAATTAAAATGCCAAATGTTAAATTCAAAGTGAGAATCTTAAAAACAGCAAGAGAAAGGCAGTTAGTTACATGGGAACTCCCATAAGACTGTCAGCCGACTGTCAACGGAAACTTGAAAGGCCAGAAGGACTTGGCACAAAATTTTCAAAGTAATGAAAACCCAGGACTTACAACCAAGATTACCCAACAGAGTTATCATTTAGAATCAAAGGACAGATAAAGAGCTTCCCAGATAAGAAAAAGCTAATGGAGTTCATCACCACCAAGCTAGTATTACAGGAAATGTTGGAGGGACTTCTTTAAGAAAAAGAAAAAAATATGTATCAAAAATATGAATAAAAAATGGCAATAACTACATATCTATCAACAAGTACTTCAAATGAAAAAATTAAATGCTCCAATTAAAAGTTAGGGTGGCTGAATGGATAAGAAAACAGGACCCTTACATATGCTCCCTGCAAGAGACTCACTTCAAATTAAGACACACAGACTAAAAGTAATAGAAAGACATTTTATGATAGACCTAGAGGGTAGTGTGCTGAGTGGAGTAAGTCAGATATAGGAAGACAAATGCCAAATGATTGCACATATATGTGGAATCTAAAGAATAAAATAAACAAAAAACTAAACTCATAGATATAGAGAACATAAATCACCAGATGGTAGGGGACTTGCGGGGGGTGGGGGGGGTGCGTTGGTGAAAAAGGAGGACGGGATTCAGAAGTACAAATTGGTAGTTACAAAATAGTCATGGAGATAGAAAGTATAGCATAAGGAATATAGCCAATAATTATGTCCAGTGTCAGAGGAGCACCAAATTTATTGGGGTGGTCGCTTTGTGAGTTATACAGATGCGTAATCACTGTCCTACACCTGAAACTAATATAATGCCAACTATAACTGAAAAATAAAAAATAAATGTTTAGTTTTTTAAACAAGTATATATTACTTAAATAATTATAAGAAATTAACACACATTTAATACTTTAATACATTAATAGAATCAGACAGTACTAAATTCTAGTCCTTTTGCTGTTGATGTGCTAGGTGTTCTTCAAGTCAGTTTCTTCTCTGAGCTTTAGTTTCTTCACTTATAAAAGTTGAGATTAAACTAGATAGTCTAAGCACAGTAACTTTTAAACATTTTTTATCATTATCTACTTTAAGGAATACATTTTATATTGTGACCCAGTATATACCTCCCTCAATATGTCTGCTCAGTGAGCTAACCCTTTCTATATGTGACATTCTCTAATAACTTCTTTTCTATCATTTTTTAAAATTGAGGTAAAATTCATTGAACATAATTCACCATTTTAACCATGTTAAAAAATGCACAATTCAGTGGCTTTTAGTACATTCAGTGTTGTGCAATGCCACAATCCAGTACCAGAACATTTCGTCATCCCCAGAAACCGCATACCTATTAGGCAGTCACTACTTTCCAGCCCCTGGCAACCACTAAACTACTTTCTGTCTCTGGATTTGCCTATTCTGGACATTTCATATTAATGGAATCTTATGTGGCCTTTTGTGTTCTCCAGGATCTTTTACTTCGCATAATATTTTCAAGGTCCATCCACGTTGTGAGCATGTATCAATATTTCTTTACTTTTTACGGCTAAATAATATTCCCTTGTATAGATATACCACCTTTTGTTTGTACCTTTATAAGTTGATGGATATTGGGTCGTTGCCACTTTTTAAAAAAATTATTATGAGTTATGTTGCTACACTCATGTATAAGTTTTTATTTGAACACTTATTTTCATTTATCTTGGGTATCTAGTAGTGGCATTGCTGGGTCATATGGTAATTCTGTTTAACTTTTTGAGGAATGTCAGACTCTTCCGTAGTAGCCACATCATATTGCATTCCTACCAGCAATGTATGAGGTTTCCAGTTTCTCCACATACTCACCAAGATTTGTTATTTTCTGTGTGAGTTTCATCATCATCATTATTATTACCATCCTAGTTAGTGTGAAGTGGTACCTAATTTTTTGTTTTGCATTTCCCAAATGATTTATGATATTAAGCATCTTTTTGTGTGCTTATTAGCCATTGTTCTATCTTCTGAAGAGATATGTTTTTTCAGATCCTTTGCTCATTTATTAATTGAGCTCTTTGTATTTTTGTTGTTGAGTTATAAGAGTTCTTTACTCTGGATACTATACCTTAATTAGATTTATGATTTGCAAATGTTTTCTTCGATCGTTCTCGTTTTCTTGATATTATCCTTTGATGTACAATAGTTTTTATTTTTATGAAGTCTAAGTTATCTTTTCTTTCGTCATTTGTGCTTTTGGTGTCATTTAAAAATTCATCACCAAATCCACAGTCATGAAGATTTACAAATCCATTTTTTCTTCTAAAAATTTTATAGTTTTAGCTTTTACATTTAGGTCTTTGACCCATTAAATTTTGTATATGGTATGAGATAAGGGTCTAGCTTCATTCTCTTGCGTGTGGTTATCCAGTCGTCCCAGCACCATTTATTGAAAGGACTATTAATTTCTTTTTTCCTTCTGTGTGGGCCATACTTTTTTGCTTCTTTTCGTGCCTCATAATTTTTTGTTGAAAACTGGACATTTGAATATTATTATGTGGCAACTCTGGAAGTTGGATTCACCCAAAGGTTTGTTGTTGCTGTTTGTTGTACCTATTGTTTGTTGGGTGAATTTTCTTACATTTTATCAAGTCATGTATAGCCAACGAAGTCTTTCATTTGCTTAGTGGTTTGCAGATAGTTCAGCAAAGATTTCCTTAATCACCTGGGAGAAAAGAAAGTCTCCCAGTCTTTGCAAATTGGCTTTGTGTGTGTGTTGGCACCTGCCTTCACCTCTCAGCTAGGCGGTTTACAGTTCTGCATTAACCTTCACTTCCTGCTTGTGCAGAGCCTGAAGGTTAGCAGTGGTAAGACCTTCTCAGGTCTTTTCTAAGCATGTGCCCAGTCATGGGCATATGACTGACTTTTTAGAGTCCCAAGAATATGTCAGAACTTTTCAAAGCCCTTGTTCTCCAAATTGCCTCATTCCCCACCTTCCCTCCCAAGCTGTTTGGTTTGTCTTTTGTTTGTCCCAACTGTTACCGTTGGCCCCAACAGGCAGAAGCTAATGCATTTGCCTGTAAATGTTTTTGACAAATGCCTCTGCCCTGGTAGAGTTCTAAGTTAGGCAAAATAAAGACAAACCCTTTGAACTCATCCTTCAGGGAGCCACCAGACAGGTAAAAACAACCACAATTCTTAGTATATGTGGTGCTGAAGCGAGCACAACAACCACAGTTCTTCAAGAACAAGGAATAAGGTCTGTTCTGTTCCCTCCAGTACTAAGAACCTATACGGGGAATATGGGCTATTGCCTTCAAAAGTATTGCTGAATTAGGAGATGAAGCCAAGGTAAGTTAAAACACTACAGAACTCTTCCTAAGACGCAGGTAGCTCTTTCCTCATCAAGTATTTGCCTGGTTGCTATAAACTTTTGATTAGTGTCTAGAGTTCTGATAAAGTTGATTCTGCCAGGTTTTTTGCTACGTAATTCTTTGCTTTTGTAGAAGGACAATCTTTTGGCAGTCCCTACTCTGAAATTTTTGCTGAAGTAACCTCTTTTTCATATATACAAATACACACACACACACACACATATTTATTTATTCATTCATTCATTCATTCATTTATTTCACCCCTTATGTAAGTTGCAGCCCTCTAATAAGGTAGCATTTACAGTTTGAGAACACTGGTGTAATATCCTTGCTATGGTAAGGACATATGAACTAAGCCAGTAGAGGATTTCCACTCTTAAGGGCATATTGATTAGCTTTGTTTTTCAGATTTTAACAAAGGAGTCAAAACATAACCAAAGTGATTTGTTCTGCTAACTTTCAGATATGTTGGCAAAATTGCGGTCACTTCTCACCATGTTACTAGTATATCCAGAGAAGTTTCTGAAGGGGCTCCTATTAGAGATGTGTTCACCTCCACAAAGTCCTTGGACTTAGGAGTATACTATGCAATTACTTCTCAGAGTGCTGTTAATGTAGACTCTCCTGTTCTTCTGCTTTAGCTTTGGGACATCCGGAAAAAAGCAGCCATCCAGACGTTTCAGAACACCTACCAGGTGTTAGCTGTGACCTTCAATGACACAAGTGATCAGATTATTTCTGGTGGAATAGACAATGATATCAAGGTATGTTTGGTGTTTTGTTATATTTCCCTTTCACTGTCTCCACTCACTGAGATGAATCTTTTCAAACCTCTGAGATTGTAGTAGCTTGCACTTAATACCAACTAAAAGGAAGATAGTAATTTTGGTCATGTTTTCTTTCTGCCCTGTCCTCATTGACTGCCTAAGTCAAGGGTTGCATTACAGCTCTTGTAAATGCTGTAAGGGCCAGGCAGTTAATGTGAAATGTGCAGTTTCCTGTGTGGGGACTCTGAAAATGAAGAATACGTTCTCTGCTTAAAGACATTCAGAACCTTTGTTGTTGCTGTTGTTGGCTTAATGAAATCCATTTGTGATTTTGTTTTTCTACCCTAATGTCTTAGTGTGTCTTTCTTTTTGAGACTATGGAAATGAAATTGTGGAGAGTCTATAGCTCAGAATGAGATACAGTTAATAGTGTTGGAGAAAGAGATGCTAGACCATGTGGTATTATATCTAACACTTTGATAGTGCTTACATTGTTTTTAGAGCTTTACATTATTCACTTAATTCAGAACAATCTCATAAAATAAGCACTATTAAAAAAATTTTGTAGATGAAGAAACTGAGCTAGGAGAGGCACGACAACTTAAGTTTATACAGCTAATAGCAGTGGAACCTCAGAAAGTTTAGTTCCAGAGTCATGCTCTTAATACCTATGAGAAATCCCCTGAAGATTTTTCTACTCACTGTCTTTAGTTCCCTACCTCCCTTTCATTCCTCAATTCCATATTTCTTGATCACTCCTCAACAGTTTGGCTTCTTCCTCCATTGTTTCGTTGACACAGTCCTCTTCAGAGTCAACAATATTTTCTTGTTACTGAATCCAGTAAATTCTTCTAGTCTTTTTTTGTTTTTGTTTTTGTTAACCGGTTATAACAACATACTCTCCTACCCCTCTGGCATATCCTTCTCAGATACCTCTCTGAGCTATCTCTCTGTACATTCTTTAAATACCATTATTCTCCACGGTTCTTTCTTAGGCGCTCTTCTCACTTTATACCTTTTCCCTGGACAGTTCTCATCTATTTCCATGACTTTGTCCTCTCTGTGCTGATGACTCCATATTCCCAGCCCAGATCTTCAGCTTTAGAACCCTGAGTACAACCAGCCACTCAGCATCCCCTTCCTGGGTGTTTCATAAGTACTTCAGAATTCACCATTTCCAAAATTTAACATCCCATCCCTTTTCTACCACACAACTATGGTAGAATATGTGGAATCAGAACATGGGAACTTAATTAAATCATCTTAATAGCTAATGCACTATTTCCCAGAGTAGTGAGGTTTGGGAACCCACTAGCAGTAGACTCACTAGAGGACGTATACAGATGAAAGTAGGTTAGTTTCATGAAGCTATGATAATTTTTATACTTTGAAAGTGTTAGTATTAAAATTTATATACAGTGAAATTAAGTTTTTTAGTATACAGTTCTACGAATTTTAATGCTTGCCTAGATTTGTGTAACTGCCACAAACAGGGTACAGAACAATTTCTGTCACCACCGCCCCCCTCCCAACATTTCACAGTGCTCCTCTGGTTCAAACTCTCTCTATATCCCTAATCTTTACCAACCATTAATCTGTTCTTTATCCTGTAGTTCCTTTTCTAGGATATATAAATGGAATCATACCATATGCCACCTTTGGAGACTGAATTATTTTACTTACGCTGTGAGAATTTGATATTCTCATCTCCACTGTGGGAATAGACTAACCTAAGAATAATACTCTTGTGCTGGTAAGGTCTTCTTACCACAAAAAGTATGATTTACTTCAGGCTTTTTATTCTAGACTATTCCTGGCCCTTCAATAAACAAATATATTCAATTGTGCTATAGTCCTGAAGGGATACCCAGTGCTTTTTAAGAATTTGAATGTTTTCCATGTCTTCTCAGACACACACCATATGATGTAGCTACCCTTAGGGTTGGTTATTTCTGCAGATAGCTAATCCCTGTCATTGTTGATTTATATCAATTTTATTCTGAAATCCAAACTAATCTCAAATATGCAGAAGTATAAATATAGTCCCATGAGTACAGCAGTTATGTTCAGCACTAGCTTTTTTCTAAAATATCGTCCTTTACATTTCTTTGAGAAGTCTTCTGATTCTAGTTTTGTACAATTTGGTGAATTAGTTCCCAGTTACTCTGTATATTTTACAAGTTTACATCATGACTTTGTAGTCTTTGTTTTTCTAAACTAAAAAGTCTTTATTCTGTCCACAGATAACTCAAATTTTTCTGTTAGTGCTTCATTTTCAGGGAATATTTTTATGAAAAGTACACAGTGTATTCCAAAAACTAGGACATCTTATTGTGTACCTACCTGGTCAATATCACTGCCTTCTCTTGCCAGTATTGGGAGCTTTCTGTTTGTGCACTGTATGTAGTGTATCTTATTTTCCAAACTAAAAATCGGGATGGACTGTCCCGTTTGCCTGCTTATTTACCTTAAAAGTTTTGCAGAAATGTAAAAATTGCATTCAAATGTATACTTAATAAATCAACTTTATTGGGAATAAAATTATTAAAAATTAAGATAAAATTGTTTATTACAATTTAAATGTTTTTAGTGATGAAAATAACTTTTGTTCATTGAAGAAAACTTAGCAAATGTAAAAAAAAAAAAAGACAAATAAATCACAGTCTCATCATCCAAATTCACTCTTTGATATTTTAATATACTTCCAGTCTGTTTCTATGCTATAATGTTTTGTACGAAAACATCTTAACATTCACACTTTAGATAAAATAAGCCCGAAGCTAAGCAGGGTTGGGCCTGGTTAGTACTTGGATGGGAGGCCACCTAGGAAGACCAAGTGCTGTAGGCATAAAAAATAAAAAATAAAGGATTGTAAGCTGCTGACAAGGTCCTTGCAATCTGTGAGGTCAACCAAGGATTGCCTTGCCAAAAAATAAAAATAAAAAAATCTTATATGACATTCTTTTCACTTAATAACATATAACTAATTTTTTTGTCTGGAGCCCCACCCCACCCTAATAGTGCCATAATTAGCTAGCTAACTCTTGTATTCTAATCTTAGCTCAGTTATCTCCTCTTCAGAGGATTTCTTAGACTAAACTAGACTTTCCTTCTTCTTGACTTCTATTGCATCACTCATCTTATTTTCTTCTTAACATTGTAGTTAGAATCTTTCAGGATTATAGTTAGGATCATTTTTCTTTTTTTCTCTAGTTTTAATGGAATATAATTGACATATAACATTATTAGTTTCAGATGTACAACATGATTTGATATATGTATGTATCGTAAAAGGATTACCAAAATAAGTTTAGTTAACATCCATCACCTCATAGTGTTACAAATTATTTTTTCTTATAATGAGAACTTTTACGATCTATTCTCTTAGCAATTTGCAAATGCACGATACAGTTTTGTTAATTTTAGTCACCATGATGTACATAACAACCCCAGAACTTAGGATCATTTTTTCTGATTCTCCCACTTAACTGCTAGCTATGTAATCTTAAGAAGGTTATTTAACCTTTCTGAGTTTCCACTTCTCATCACTAAATGGGAATGATAACCCTACCTCATACAATTATATGGATTAAATGAGGTAAAGAATATAATATTCCCAGAAAAATTGTAGTTACTTGTAAGTATTCTATATATGTTAACCACTTTCATCATCATTTTACTTATTAGAATATTTGATAATGTAGTAAGTGACAACCATGTCACTGGATGTTTAGGCTATTTCCTATGTATCACTATCACAAATTATGCTGCTATGGACATATTTGTGCATGAACCCTTTCCATATTAATTTTCTTAGAATAGATTTCTAGATGAAAATTAATGTGTTAATAAGTATAAGGATATTTCATATCTTAGATACAGGTTCCCAGATTGTTTTCTGGCAATAGCAGTTAATACAGACAGTATTTAAAATAAGATTGCTATAACTATTTGACTTCATTTTGGCTCCTATGTAACTAAAGAGTATGCTGGAAAGGTATGAGACTATTAGGATTGCAGTCTTCTTTCTATCTAACACCTCCTATTCTTACACCCTTAGGGAAGAATAACTGCCCCTGGACCCAGAAAGATTCTTAATTGTCTTCAGGCCCTCATACATTTCTTTAAATGTGAAACAGAGCCTCCTTTTCAATCAGAAACAGACTCAGAGAGTGTTAAATCTGGAAGGGACCTTAGACATGTAGTTATCCCTCTTACTTTACAGATGACTAAAGTGAAGCCTTAACAAGTGATTTGGCCAAGATCACACAGTCACTCACATAGTCATTGGTAGAGCCAGTACCAGAACTCTATTTTCAGGGAGCTAATACTCTTTCCACTCTATCGAATTGTCTCTAGTTGATTAACAAGTATCTTTAAGCACTTACAGGCCTACCAGTCTTGAGCACTTGTTTGACAAATCACTATATTTCCTCACTACATCAGGAGGTGCTCCTGAAAGTTTTGCTTCTCAGTCTCTTACTTAGCACCACCTATTCTAAGAAAAGGGGAACAAATAGGGAATGGGAACCCCTTTTAAAATCTGAGGTGAACAAATTCTTTCTGCCAACCTCTTGGGATTTTTCTTTCTGGTTATAGTATTGGGGCATCAGAGGAAAATGAATAAAAGAAGAAAACGTGCTTCTGTCTGATGGCTTCAAGGTCCAACTGGCAGTTCTTTGGCATTTTTTATAATTCTGAGCTCTGGTCAGAATGGGAGTTTAGTTGATCATTTTTTGTTTGTTTTGTTTTTAATGTAGTGGGTTGGGTAAGGGGAATAGAATAAATCCTCATTGATTTCCCAGCCTTCGTTCTCATCCTTTCAATTATCTGGGCCTAAAGGATCTTTCTGGAATGTAAGTCTAACCAAATCATCCCACTACTCTGAACCCTTCTGTGGCTCCCAGTGAGGAAGATAATGTCCAAGCCAGGCATTAAAAATCTTTCATGAGCTGGCCTCTGCCTGCCTACCTCTCAAGCATTGTCTGCTGCTTCTCTGCCTGATTGCCTACAGTCCAGCAATTTCTTCATGCCTCTATGCTTTCACACATTATTTTTGCCTAGGAATACTCTTCTACTTTGTCTAAGTAAAAAAAAAATCTCTGCTCAAATGCTTCATTCTCTATGAAACTTTCCCTTCCTCACTCCCATCTGTGGACCACAAGAGAGTTAATCTCTCTTTGCTACTGTACCTTGTATAGCATTCTCATCTCTTAAAACTAACATGTCTGTTTTTCCTGCTG